GGCTTCTTCTTTAACCTATGAACTATTTAAAGGTATACTTTTAGAACTTCTAAATGTTGGTTTTTAAGTTATCTTTTCATTTTATTTATTTATTTATAAATTTTTTGTTAAATCCTCACCCAAGGATATTTTTTCCATTGATTTTCAGAGAGAGTGGAAGAGAGGGAGGGAGAGAGAGAGAGAGAGATATTGATGTGAAAAAGACACATCAATTGGTTGCCTCCCACATGACCCTGACTAGAGCCGGGGCTCTAACCTGCAACCCAGGTATGTGCCCTTTACTGGAATCCAACACTTGACCCTTTGATCCATGGGCTGGCACTCTACCTGCTGAGCCACACTGGCCAGGACTCTTTATTATTTTTAAGTTAATTACATTGCAGTTAAAGAATATAGTTCATATAAGAACCCACAACCTGGTATGTGCCCTGACTGGGAATTAAACTGGCATGGAGCAACCAATTGAGCCACACCAGCCAGGGCTAGACTAAGATATTTAATTGTTTAAATCTTCTATAGCCTTACTAATTTTTGTCTGCTTGATCTTTCAATTACTGAGAAGTATCTTAAAACCCCCCAGTGTGTTTTATCAACTAAGTATGCATTCCTAAACAATATAGTTTTATAGTTGAGTTTTGCTTATTTATTAATTTTTATGTGAATGGATCTTATATAGCCTTTCGTTTTACTTTGGTTTTTTTCCTGAGCATTACATTTTAAAGATCATCCACAGTGCTTTGTGTTGGTATACTTTAGTAGTTCTCAAAGTGTGGTCTGTGGACTCCCAGGGTTTTGCCCAAGACTCTCCTGGGATCTGAGAGGTCAAAACTATTTTCATGATTATATAAAAACATTATTTGCCCTTGTCACCAATAACATTGGTAATGATGTCAGCAGTGAAAAGACAAGGGTGGGGAAATCCGTTGACACGTTATTATGGTTAAAGGCAGTGACCCCTAACAGTACTTAGTCGTCATTTTAATTGTTTCACTCAAGAATGTCTCTGATAGCGCTCTCCCTCCCAGGAGCACACCCACGCCTTTCTTCCCTCTCTCTCTGCACACCTCAACTCTAAGGGTCCCCATGAGACTCGCCACCTAGGGAGCAATGGGCAGCGGAAACTCATCCAGGCGAACCCTCTGAACCTGTCTCCGAGGCTCCCTTTTCTCTGCCTTCCCAGTGAGCTAAGGCAGCCCCGCCAGGCTCATTTCTTTCCTGCATTGTTTCTAGGGAGCGAGAGCAGCCTGCTGCGGCTCTTCCCTGATGCTGCTTCTACCCTCAGCCCTTGTGTCACTGTCCCCAGCTTTACTAAATGAACTTTCAAACTAAAAAGTAATAATAATAAAAAAGAATGTCTTTGATAAAGCAGAGACATGATTGATTTTATTAAGTCTCAACCCTTGAGTACATGTCTTTTGACTAGTCCATGAAATGAAGTGGTAAGTATGCATTAAGCACTTCTACTGCGTGTTGGACTATGGTGGTCGCCTTGAGGAAAAGCATGCCGTTATTTAAGTTGCAAACTAAATTGGCTACTTTTTAAATAGAATATCATTTTTATTTTATAGAGTGACTGCTAGATAAACTGTGATTAATTCCACTGTGGTATTTGGCAGACATTTTCTTGAAAATAAACAAAGTGAGCCTGTCATTTCAAAGAAAACAACTGATTTCACTGGTTGCCAATGATAAAATTTGAGTTTTCATATGAAAATTAAAATTTTGGGAAACTTGTATCAACCACTGTGAGCTTGATATCAATACTTAAAAACCTTTCTGATGCGATAGATGACTGTGATTATGACCTAGAGTGCAGTGTCATCATTTGGAAGACTTGCATAATGCAGTGAATCAGTGTTTTGTAAGTGATGTGTGTAGATGTTACAAAATCATGCATGGGTAAAAGACTTTATTCACCATGCAAGATAAGGCAGTGGATTGCAATGGGCACAGTATGAAAAGTTTATTGATAGGGTTTCAGAAGGTACATTGCCTCTGATCTTTAAGAAATTATCACTTGTTGAGTGTTGGTATAGTATCAAAGAAGAATATCCACAATTACTTGAAAAGACTACTCTCCCTTTCCAACTATATATCTTTGTAAGGCTGATTTTCATCATATACTTCAACCAAAACAAAATATTACAACAGATTGAATGTAGAAACAGATAGGAAAATTGTGCTGTTTTCTATTAAGCCAAATAAGATTTGCAGAAATATAAAACAGTACCACTCCTTTTACTTTTGTTTTAGAAAACATAAAGTTATTTTTATAATGTGTTACTTATATTAACATATATTCATTGTTATTTAAAATGAATACATATGCATTTAAAAAACTCAGTTATAGTCCTGGCCGGTTTGCTCAGCGGTTAGAGCATCGACCTGTGGTCCTGAGAGACCCGGGTTCGGTTCCGGCTAAGGGCGCGTACCTCGGTTGCAGTTTGTCCCCGGGCCTGGTCGGTCGTGCGGGTGGCAGCCACTCGATGTGTTCCTTTCACATCGATGTTTCTCTCTCTCTCTCTCTGTTCTTCTCTCTCCCTCCCACTCTACCTGAATAAAAAAATGGGAAAATGTCCTCGGGTGAGGATTAAAAAAAACAAACAAAAAAACTCAGTTATATAAAACAAGAGAACTTTGTAGTCTTTTTCTAAGAATGTGAAAGGGCCCTGAAGTAAAAATGTTTAAGTATTTTGTTCATTTTTGTTTGAATGTAATTCCATTTCAGATTTTTTACCTTTTTTTTTGTTGTTGTTGTTCAGATAGAGTAGGAGGGAGAGAGAGAGAGAAACATGGACGTGAAAGGAACACATCGAGTGGCTGCCACCCACATGACAAACCGCAACCGAGGTACATGCCCTTAGCGGGAACCGAACCCGGGTCTCTTTGGACCGCAGGCTAACACTCTTAACTGCTGAGCCAAACCGGCCAGGGCTCCTTTTTTTTTTGTTTTTAATCCAAATATTTTTGGACATTTGTTTTTTCCAGTTTGAAAACTGGAACATTATGAACATTAACAGCTTTGGATATGTACCTAGTGCACATAAGTATGCCTTTCTGTAAGATATAGAACTAGGAATAGAATTCCTGGATGAGATAAAATGCATATTTTTAACTCTTGAGATTTTTAAGATAATGCCTGATTTAGTCAGAGTATAGCAGGAAACAGAAGGCCCTCAAACTAGGTATTCAGAGAGTTTATAATGTAGGTAGAGTTTAGAACACAAATGCTAGTTGTACAGTTTTCAGTGCTAGCGATGGCTGAGAGCCCTTGATACAACTTATCTTTAAGGAGCAATAGGAAAGAGCTGTTACTTCAACTGGAAGAGGATAGTTGTGTGGAAAGGGATTCCTGATAGAAATTGAAGCCTCTAAAGAGGGATGCCTACAACTCATGACAACTGGCAGGGGAGGTCCTGGGAAGAAATATCCTGTCTTTATCTCCTCATACCCTCAGTCTCCTGCTAATGTGTCTCATTGATTAATTCAGTTTGAAGCTAGAGGGGAGGGGAATTTGATGATATGTACATATTTTTAAAGATTTTTTTGTTGATTTTTAGAGAGAAAGGAAGGGAGAGAGAGAAACATCAACATGGAGCCAAACATCAATCGGCTGCCTCCTGCATGCCCCCTACCAGGGATCAAGCTCGAAACCTGGGCATGAGCCCTGACCAGGAATCCAGCTAGCGACCCTTCTGTGCATGGGATGATGCCCAACCATCTGAGCCACCCAGCCAGAGAAATGGTATATTTTTTTTTTAGGTCAGCTTCAGTTCCATTTGGAATTGAATTTTTTGCATTGTGTAAGATTAATGTTTTTCCAAATGGCTCTCCAGTTGACCTAGTGCTGTTTACGGAAACAGCCCTATCTCACTGCTCTGAAGTGCCACCTTTGTTATAAACCAGGGGTTCATAAATTTGTTGATTCTCTAATATGTTTCATGGGTCTGTGTGTGCCTGTCTTTGAGCCAGTAGACATTATCTTAATTATTAGAGCTTTGCACAAACACAAACCAAAAACCTTATTGAAAATTTGATTGGGATTTTGTTGATTCTGTTGATCAATTTGGAGGAGAAATGAGATCTTTACAATATTTGATCTTGTAATTTATGGGTATACCCATTTATTTAAAAAATTTTTTTCAGTGTATTTTATGGTTTCCTTTGTAAAGACCATGTACATCTTTTGTTGAATGTATTTTTGGGTGCTATTTAATTTTTTTTTTTTTTTAATCCTCACCCGAGGACATTTTTTTTACATTTATCTTTAGATAGAGTGGGAGGGGGAGAGGGGGGAAGAGAGAGAGAGAAACATTGATGTGAGAGAGACACATTAACTGGTTGCCACCCACACGACCCCAGCCGGGGCGGTGACAAGCCACAACCGAGGTATGTGTCCTTAGTGAGAATCGAAACTGGGACTCCTTGGTCCGCAGGCCAATACTCTAACCACTGAGCAAAACTGGCCAGGGCTATTTTTGGGTGCTATTTAAAAATAGTATCCTAAATATTGCTTTTTAATTGTTACCATTATGTTTTATTTCATTTTATTTTTTATCCTCACCCGAGGACATCTTTCCATTTTTGGTTCAGATAGAGTGGGAGGGGGAGAGAGAGAGAGAGAAACATTGACGTGAAAGGGACACATCGAGTGGCTGCCACCCACACAACCCAACCAGGGCCAGGGACAAACTGCAGCCGAGGTACGTGCCCTTAGCGGGAACCGAACCCGGGTCTCTCTGGACCGCAGGCCGATCCTCTAACCACTGAGCAAACTGGCCAGGGCAGTTGTTACCATTATGTACAAATACAGTTGTTATGTTTTTTACAATTAATTTTTATATAATGGCTTTGTATTCACTGACCTTACTAAGTTTATTTACTGATTCTAATAGTTCAGCTGGATATTTTGGATTTTCTATGAATACACTCAATGTTGTCTGCAAATATTGACAGTTTCCTTTCCAGTTCTTATATATTTCTTTTGTCAATGACAGTAAGTCTAAACCTAAAGATGAATTTTATAACAGTTTGAGCCAAAAGATTGAGGACCAACCCAAAAGCAAAATCTCAAAGGATTAAGAAAATGTTCTGGAGGATGGTAATTTTGCATTTCTTTTTTCTACATTTTGAATCAAAGGAGGTTACATGAAATCCATTAGTGGTAGATTAAGGAGGTGGGAGAGAGCAAGGGTGGGAGGTGTTTCTAGGGTTGGCTAAAACGCAAAGTGGGGCTATACATACTTCTTTTCCATCAGCAGGTACAAGATAGTTAACATTAACTTTTACAGTAAATGAGTTTGGGGTTGTCCTGTGAAGGTGGGTGGTCATGCCTCTGAGAGGCATGGAAAAGAGAGTTACTGACATTCCGAGAGTATGTTGTCTTCGATGCACAAAAACAATGGACAGGGCTCCCTTAAGGCAAAGATTGACTTTTACTGAGGAATCTATAGGCTCAGAATGTGACTAGGCCTCATGCATGACCTGCCCAGTTAGGAAATTTATGATCAGACCATCCTGTGTGGCTAGGTTACATGGTCACTGAGTTTGTCAGGCTTGCTACAAAGGCCCTCTTCCATTCACGCTTGAACTTGATTTATTGCACTGTCCAGGACCTTCATACAGTAAATGTGTGTTGAACAGAAGTAGTGATTGGAGGTATCTTTATATCATTCCTGATATCAAAAGGAAAGCTTTCAACGTTTCATCATTAAGAGTGGTGTTTGCAATGGCATATTACTCAGCCATTAAAAAAAGAATGAACTCTTGCCATTTGGGACAACACAGATGAACCTAGAGGATATTATGTCAAGTGAAATAAGACAATAAAGCAGAGAAAGACAAATACCATATGATTTCACTTATATGTGGAATACAAAAAACAAACTAATAGATACAGAGAATTGATGGTCACCAGATGGGAGGGATTTGAGGGGATAGGTGAAAAAGGTGAAAGGGATTAAGAAGTATAAAGTTCCAGTTATAAAAATAGTCACAGGGATGTAAAGAACAGCATTGGGAATATAGTTAATAATACAGTAAGTGTAGTATCAGATTGGTACAGACTTACAAGGATTATCGCTTCATAAATTATATAAATGTCTAATCACTATGTTGTACATCTGAAACTAATATATGTCAACTCTAACTGAAAATTAAATTTAAAAAATTTTTAATAGAATGATGTCTGCTGTAGTTTTTGTTTTGAATATTTTTAAATCAGATTAAGGGAAGTTTCATTGTACTCAATTTTTATCCTGTGGATGATAGTGTGATCTTTCTGGTTATTTTGTTATTGTGGTGAATTTTATATATATACATTAGTGTTAAAATTAGCCTTGTAAGGACCAAGTATTCTTTTTTTTTAATCCTTACCCGAGGAAATTTTTCCTTTTTTTTTCAGATAGAGTGGGAGGGAGGGAGGGAGGGAGGGAGAGAGAGAGAGAGAGAGAGAGAGAGAGAGAGACATCGGACGTGAAAGGGACACATCGAGTGGTTGCCACCCGCACAACCCAACCAGGGCCAGGGACAAACTGCAATCGAGGAACGTGCCCTTAGCGGGAACCGAACCCAGGTCTCTCTGGACCACAGGCCGACGCTCTAACCGCTGAGCCAAACCGGCCAGGGCTTTCTTTTCTTTTTTCTTTTTTTTTAAATCCTCACCCGAGGACATTATTGCATTCATCTTCAGATAGAGCTGGAGGGAGAGAGAGAGGAAAACATGGACACGAGAGAGACACATCGAGTGGTTGCCACCCACACGACCCCAACCTGGGCTGGGGACAAACCGCAACTGAGGTACGAGCATGCCCTCTGTGGGAACCAAACCCGGGACTCTCCAGTTCGCTGGCTGATGCTCTAACCGCTGAGCCAAATCAACCAGGGCCCAAGTATTCTTTTCATATGTATGTTATATATATGTATTAATAGATTCCTAGATTCTGTTTAGGATTTTTGCATCTATTTTCATGAGTGAGACTGACCTAAAATGTTCCTTTCTTGCAATATCCTTGTCATATTTTGCTATCAAGATTATGTTGGCTTTATAAAGTGAATTGAGTAACATTTTATGTTTGTGTATTCTCTGGAAGAATTTGGATAAGATTGATGTTATTTCTTTTTTAAATGACAATATAGCCCTGGCCGGTTTGGCTCAGCGGTCAGAGCGTTCGTTGGCCTGCGGTCCAGAGAGACCCAGGTTCGGTTCTCGCTAAGGGTGCGTACCTCGGTTGCAGTTTGTTCCCGGCCCTGGTTGGTCATGCAGGTGGCAGCCACTCAATGTGTCCCTTTCACGTTGATGTTTCTCTCTCTCTTTCTCTCCCTCCCACTCTGTCTGAACAAAAAATGGAAAAATGTCCTCAGGTGAGGATAAAAAAAAAAAAAAAAAGACTATAATTTTATTTATTTATAAGGAAGTTTTTCTTTAATAGATGTAGAACTTTTAAGATTTTAAATTTCTTTTATCATTTTGATAACTGATTTTATAGGAGTTTGCCTATTTCATCTAAATTTTCAAATTTATTGGCATGAAGTTCATAATATCCTCTTATTTTCTGTAGGATTTATAGTGTTGTTCACTTTCATTCCTGCTACTAATAATTTATTGTACCTTTTTTTTAAATGAGTCTCATCAGGGGTTTATCAATATTATTAGTCTTTTCTTTTTCAGAATCAAGATTTTTATTTTTATTTATTTATTTTTGTTACAGATATTTCTCCTTTTTTCTGCCATTGACACCCTCCTCCCAGTCCCACCTCTAATATTATTAGTCTTTTCAAAGAACATACTTTTTACTTTGTTAGTCCTCACTTCCCTTCCTCCCTCCCTCCCTTCCTCCCTGCCTCCCTCTCTTCCTTCCTTCATCTAACCACCTTATTCTTTACCTATCTACCTTCATACATTTGTTTGATTTCTTTCTACAGTCAACTGCTGCATGATGTTTTGGTCGATGATGGACTGTGGATATATGACAGTGAGATTATAATGGAACTGACAAATCCCTGTCACCTAGTGAGGTGGTCATGCATTACACAAACACTACTTCCCATTGTATTACAGTTGCCTACAGTATTCAATACAACAACATACTGCACAGGTTTGTAGCCTAGGAGCTTAGAGGAGAACAGAATTTGTCACCCCAAAATATGTCTTTTTGGCATAAGGATTATTTTAGGCTGGTTAATTTTAAAAGACAGCAGACATGGGAGAAGCTCTGAAAAACCAAGTAGAAGTTACCCTTTGTAAAAGGTAACTTAAATTTGTAAGGGAAATCTCCATTTGTAAGGGTGCCTCCCTCCTGTACCTGGTGGAGAGGGATGACCTTATCTCTAGAAATTCTTATCAGGTCAGAAGATTTAGATCTGCATAATATCCTTACCCTGTTCACTGCGTTTTTCCTGGTACCCTCCCATAGCTGCCTTCCCCCACCCCCAGTATCTTCTTTCGTTTTCAGCTGAAGATGATATTTAAGTTAGTGGCTTCAGCCATTTTGGCAAATGACTCAGTTTTCCTGGGTCTCTCCCATGTATACAGGTATACGTATTATTAAACTTTTCTTTGTTTTTCTGCTGTTAATCTTTTATCACAGGGATGTCTCAGCCAGGAACCTAGTAAGAGGGAAAATTATTTTCCCCCCTCTACAGAGCAATAAGCTATACCATATAGTCTATGTGTGTAGTAGACTATACCATTGAGGTTTGTTCACTCTTGGATGTTTGCACAAGGATGCAGTCTCCTAGCAACACATTTCTCAGGTGTATCCTTCTCATTAAGTGTCCATGACTGTACTGTTAACCTAAAAATAATGACCAAAGTGAGAGGCAACAAGCATTTTTTCTTTTTAGATTAAAAAAGAACAGCTATTTGGAAAGCACTGATTTAGGCAAAAGCCCAGATGGTATTCCCATTAGAAGACAAAAGCATGGAGCATTTATGAGAAAGGGAAGGGGAACAGTCCCATCAGTAGACCCTAAGGCATTCCTATAGGCGTAGATAAGCTAACTAGTGACTCGAATTCTAAAAAATGTTTCTTAATTTTCAGTCCAGTAGTCATCAGTCTAGTAGTCATAACATCAGATTTCTTGTTATCTTTGCAAACAATTGTTTGAGATACTGTGCTGGTTATTTTGCCTTGTTTTAACTTTCCGGAGGTTTGAGGCATAAGACCTGCAAGGCAGTTCTAGGATGTAGCTCCGACTCCATTTTAAAGTGGCTCTGTTTATATTATATTTTTACAGTGCTTTCCATGGGTTCAATTTGTTCATTCTCTAAATTTTGAGATAGATACTTAGATCACTGATTATTTTTCAGCTAGTCATTTTCTAATATGTACTTTAAAAGCTATACATTTTATTCTAAGTTTAAAGCTTTAGCAATATTCTACAAATTTTAATCTGTTGTTTTTATTGTCCTTCAGTTCAAAATAATGAGATGTCATTACTTCCACGGTCATTTAGAAGTAAATTGCTTAATTTCCAAACATAAGGGAATTTTTAGGTTTATTCTGTTATTTCTGATATAATCCCTTCTTAATCAGAGAACACCCCCTGAATGATCTTAGTCCTTTGAAATTTGTTAGACTTGCTGTATGCTTCATCATATGACCAGTTTGTATAAGAGGTCATGGTGCACCTGAAAAACATGGGTGCTGCCATCATTTTATGCAGTCTCTTATATGTGCAGTGTTGTTCATTCTTATGGGTTTCTATTTTTATCTGCTTGTTCCATCAGTTACTGTTAAAATCTTTGCTTCTCTTTTTAGTTCTGTCAGTTTTTTGCTATATACTGTTGGAGTTATGTTATCACACATGCACAAATGTAGCATTTTTATATCTTTCTGGTGAGTCATCATGATTTTCATTTTTAGTAATACAACTTTGACATTAGGATTAGCTTGGACCTCAGGGCACTCGGACTCCACTTTATCCTCCCTCCCTAAGTTATGTGCCACTGCTGTTTAATTCTCTTTGTTTTAAAACCCACAAGATGCTGATTCCTTCTTAGTATCCACTTTGTTTTATTCATTTACTTTCCATTGCTTTTTATTTTTTTCTACATCTCTTAGCATCCATCTTTTATTTTATTTTTTATCCTCACCCGAGGACATTTTTCCATTTTTTGTTCAGATAGAGTGGGAGGGAGAGAGAGGAAGAGAGAGAGAGAGAGAGAGAGAGAGAGAGAGAGAGATAGAGAGAGAGAGAGAGAGAGAGACATCGATGTGAAAGAGACACATCGAGTGGCTGCCACCCGCACCCACCCGCACGACCCAGCCTGGGCCGGGGATAAACCGTAACCGAGAAACGTGCCCTTAGCGGGAACCGAAACTGGGTTTCCCTGGACCACAGGCCAATGCTCTAACCGCTGAGCCAAACCGGCCAGGGCCATCCGTCTTTCTTTTAGAAAGGGTCTCTATTTGTCTGACAGTGTCTAGATTTTATCTTCATTATTGAAGTTCTTTTTTTCCCCCTGGATTTAGAATTCCAAGCTGGCAATTATTTTCTTTCAGCCTTATGAAAATACTATTGCACTGTGTTCTTGACACCCCCCCCCCCCCTTTTTTTGGTAGAGAATTCAGCTTATTGCTGTTTCTTTGAAGGTCACCACCTCCTCTACCCCCACTGGCTATTTCTTGCATTTTCTCTTTGCCTTTGGCATTCTGCAGTTTTACTCTAATGTGCTCAGGTGAGGTGTTTTGTTGTGTTTTTAACATTCTTTTTTTGTAACGTTTTTAAATCTGTGGCTTGATGCCTTTTGTTAGTTCTGGAAAGTTCTTAGCCTTTATGTCTTCAGATATGCTTCTGCTCCATTCTCTCGTTTCTTCTTCTTGGAATCAGATACCTCGTGGTTCAGACCTTTCATCATGTCCCATATGTCTCTCACATTCTCTGATGTTCCTGTTTTCTCCCATGCTTCAGTCTGGATAGTGGCTTCTAATTAAAATGTTAACTCTTTCTTCAGCTGAATCTCATTTGCTGTTAAACACATCCATTGAATTCTTAATTTCAATGACTGTTTTTCAGTTTTAGAAATTTCATTTGAGTTTTCTATGAATAGTTTCCAATTCTTTGTCTTGTCTTAATCATTTGAAAATACTATTATCCAAAGTAATAATACAAGGCAATAAAAATAGACTCACAGGGGAATCCAGATTTGGTCTTGATTTTAGTCATAACTGTTAGCTTACATGCCAGTTACTGTATATTAAGAAATTGTGAAGGTCATTTGAGGCTCTGGATGCCAGTGAGCTCATTCTAGAGCTCTTTGGGCAGGCAGTTAGGCTAAGGTGTGGAGATCGGTCAGTGAATGCCATCCTTCCCAACTAGGCCTCAGGCTGGTCTATTCCTGGTATACTTTTAACTCCTAGGATGTAGCCATCAGGGTCCCAGTGGAAAGACTAAGGTGTTTATCTTCCTTCTGGGTTGCCTATACGCTTAATTTTGTTCTCCTAGCCTTGCATTCTGCCAAAGCTCTGCTCAGCTTCTTGCTTCTCGGCAACAGTTTTGGGGATTTATGACCATTATCTGCCTAAAAAAGAAAGAACAATACTTCTTTATCATCAAATATTCAGTCACGTTTCAGATTTTCCTTATGTCTCATGGATGTTGATTATAGTTGGTCTATTCAATTCAGGATCCAAACAAGGTTGATGTATGTATTGTAATTGGTGGTTATGTCTCTTCTAATCTATGTGTTTCCCCTTATTTATTTGTTTATTTGTTTGAAGGAACAAGGTCACTTGTGCTGTAGAATGTCTCATATTTTGGATTTTGTTCATTGTGTCCCTTTGGGGCTTCCTATAAAGTGGTAATTGGTTCCAGAGGCTGGATCAGGTTCGGATTCAGGAGGCACATAATGCCAGGGTGTCTTTCATTCTATGATGTTGGATTGATAGGTGAGTTAGTAGTTGGTCAGTTTGGATTTTGCAGCCCCGTTCATGCATTGGGAGTGTCCTTGTCTGCCATTCACCTAAAGTTTTAGCAGCCAGTGACGAGCACTGTCCAGATCTATTATTTTATTAGGGGCAACAGAATGATGAGTGGTCTAATGCCACCACTCCTGTGTTTATTGGCTTGATGAATTCTTTTTAACTCATTGTATATACCCGTCCTCCCACACACATACACACAATGTTTACTTTATTTTTTAATGTCTATTTTTGTTATTCTTTTTATAGTTTCAGCCTTTCCCCCCAAAAAAGAATAATAATAATTAATATTTTAGTTATCCTTTCTCTTCTCTCTATATTCATGTGTCCTCTACATTTTTTTTTTTTTTATCCTCACCCGAGGACACTTTTCCATTTTTTGTTCAGACAGAGTGGGAGGGAGAGAGAGAGAGAGAGAGAGAGAGAGAAACGTCGATGTGAAAGGGACACATCGAGGGGCTGCCACCCCCACAACCCAGCCAGGGATGGGGATTAACTGCAACTGAGGTACACGCCCTTAGCAGGGACCGAACCCGGGTCTCTCTGGACCGCAGGCCAACACTCCAACCGCTAAGCTAAATCGTCCAGGGCTGTCCTCTACATATTTTTATTGGTTTTAACTATGTGCCTCTTTTTATTATTTTACATTTGTTTCATTTTTCTTTAAGAAGGATGTCCTCAGTACGTGTCCATTCTATCTATCACTTGATGTCCTGATATCCATCGGCCCTTTGTTCTCCACTGTGGGTTTTAATTTTTGTGTTATTTCAGATCATTCCTTATGCATTTCTGTTCCCATATGTAGAATCCATATTATATTACATCCTGTTGCAGTTATAAATCTCTTTCCTAAAGTTTTCTTTTAGCTTATTTTGTAGTTAATCTCCACAGGTAATGTCTTTCTCTGAATCCTCTGGATAATGGTCTTCACCTTATTACATAGGGTTGTTTGTTTTCTCTTAAACACACATAAATTTTATCTAGGTGCGGTGTTTGCACATGGTTGAGTGAATTGGTCTTCCTTTCTTTTCTTTCGGTGGTTTCTTCTGAGAGCTGCGGCGGAGTTGTGATTTATGTGATGGTCCCAGCTCAGTTCCCGTTCCTCGTTCCTGCTCCACTTCACTAACATCTGCACGTGCCTCCATTTCCTGCTTCTCAATCCTTTGAACCTTGAAATAATGTATACACGTGTCCCTGCTCTTAAACAGAGGCCAGGGACCTCTGTAAAGATGGATAAAATTTCCCAGTACTAGACAGGAGATGGGCATTCCAGGCAGAGGGGTCAGCATATGTAGAAACCTGGTGGCACAAAGCAGCATAACCTGTTTGAAAAATTGCTAAGTTTTTTGTGCAAGTATTTTTGTATTTCTCTTATGTATATAATGTTTCTCGGTGCCCTAAAGTCTATGCAAACTTATCCCTCAAGCCTTTGCAGTTCTTCAGATTTTTCTCATGGCTTTAGCAATTCAGTTTCCAGCTGCTCCCTAGGCATTGTCCTGGCCTCACGTATTATAATGAATCCCCTTTCAACATACTGCAGTCTCAAAATGTTAAAACCCTGGATTCATTATTTTCCCCACGAATCAAATTCTTTTTCTTGTCCATCAGTAACTTGTTCAGTCTCTAAAGTTTGCAAACCTAGGAGTCTTTCACTTGTATCTTCAGTGGTTTTTCTCTACTTAGAGTTACTGAGTCCTGTTGAGTCTCCATCCAGCTTCCCCCATGACTCATCCC